AAAAAAAAAGAAAATCCCGTGAACCGCTGGAGATAAAACTGAAACTTCGAGGCTCAAAACAGGCGGAAATTCATCAACTACAATTTACTTAACTGGTGAAATAAGGCATCTTTTGACAAAATGTCTTAAAATTTATTGACAAAAAAGCTGTCCGAGCAATTTTTTCCACAAAAAACCAATGCCAAAGGATCTGCAAAAACGAGATGAGCTTCGACGCACCTTTGTCAAATCCTCGAATAAATTGGAGCAGTACAAATTGCAATCGTAGTTGAGATAGAGCTCGGTAACAAGGCCGGCAATACGCCACAGCTGTACGATACTTTCCAGGGCCATTTCTTTCTGCTCGTAACTGATTCGACTCTAAAAATTTCTTTTCTGAACTGTTATACTGATATCTGGGAAAAAAAAACCGGAAAAAAACGCATAAGCGCGTGAAAGGGGCTAATTCTCCCATGCAATCAAAAGAAAAGCGTGGCGTAGGACCAAAAATAAGAAAAAAATTAGGGTAATTTCAAAAAAAGAGAAAAAAAACCAAATTTTTGAAATTTTTTTGAGGTGCTAATTTCAAACTAGAACATTATAGCTGAAAGTGGAGTTGTAAGTGTATAAGTATAACAAAGCAAGGCCATCCATGATGCAGTACAGCAAGGGGCCTCTGAGATCCGTGGGCTATATAAAACCAATCCCTTTACAGTTCAATAATTCGTCCCGAAATTTATAAAATGATATACCGAAAGAGCTTCTGACCTAGATAATCTTCTTCAGTTTTACAGGAAAGCCCCGGCAAAAGGGCAGGACCGGTAGGAATGCCGTTGCAAAAACTAGGCAAATCACAAATGGAAAAAAAATTCGAAAAATTTTCACAGATACCTGCTCGCTGGTGACAATTGACTTCAGCTTCATAAAATACGATTCGAGCTGGAATTTTAGGTCCGAGCGAAGGCTCTCGAAGAGCAGGAAGCAAACTCGATTTGTTGCCGCAAATACTGGCAACTTTTCAGTGTCCAAAAGCTGAAAATAACAGGCTAAATAAACACATTTCAATGTATTTTAATCCAGATTTACCGGAAAAATTTATGGCGCAAACGTCAAACCAGTTACTGATTTAGGCAAATTTCAAAATTTTGCATTTGTGATGCGCATCAATGAGCCGCAAAATACCCAAAAACCCTCCCAAAATAACACAAAAAACAAATAATGTCAGGGTAATAAAAGCTGCCAATTTCTCGGAAATGCACCCTTGCAAGGTATGATGTACTGTTTGCCAACTTTTAAATAATCAGATCACAGGCCTATCGCTAGAATTACCACGCCACCATGATTGTGCGGAAAATCAATGTGGACATCGAATAATGCTGCTAATACAACCGAAGAAATCGAGTATTAACAATTATTTTTAGAACTTGACAGGTCACACAACTTATAGCTAAACTATTAGATATCACGACTTTCAGG